CAGTCGCAAACCCTCCCCTCGCAAACCCTCCTCGCAAACCCTCCTCGCAAACCCTCCCCTCGCATCCCTCCTCGTCATCTCTACCTCCACACCCGGCTGTATGTACACCTAGCTAGGCGCCTAGCTAGGCGCCTGTTCTTAGGCTCTTGGTTTCCTGGTTTCTTGGTTTCCGTACCACCCCCACCATGTTAGCGTCCCCGCAGTACATCACGTGTCCCTCCGCCAGCAGCATCACGCTGTCCAGCTGCCGGTACAGCCGCGAGGAGGGCTGGTGGATGGTGGTGATGATGGCGCGACCGCCGGAGGCGAGCTGCGGGGGAAGGGGGGAGGGGGCAGGCAGGGCGGAGGGGCGCAGGGGCGCAGGGGGCGGAGGGGAAGGAATAGAGGTTGGAAATGCCATATGAGGTTGGATGGAAGGATTGCGTATAGGGAGGCGGGGGGGGGGGACCGGGGGGGGGGAAGCACCGAGTTTGTAGATGCATGGAGGGGACGGAGTAGAGGGGAGGGAAGGGGGGCGGGGCTAATGGGAAACCGAAAGTCCCCCAAATTCACCGCCGAAACCTCCCCGAATTCCAAGCCAATCCCAAACCTCCCAACCCCAAACCTCCCGCCCCCCCTCTCTCCCCCTTCCTCACCTGCCTCAACAGCTGAACCAGGTGCAGTGCGGTGGTGGAGTCCAGCCCGCTGGTGGGCTCGTCCAACATGAGTACGGCGGGGTTGATGAGCAGCTCGGCACCCACACTCACTCGCTTGCGCTCGCCGCCTGAGGGGAGGCAGGGGGGAAAGGGGGAAGAAAGGGGAGGGAAGGTTGCGGGGCGAGCTGCGGGAGTGTGTGTGGAGGATATGCATGATGGAGGCTTGTTATGAGCTTCTGCACCCTTCGGCCCCTGGGGTCCCACTAGATAGGCTCCTCTGCTTCTAATGACCCGCCAGTATGTTGCTGCATGCACCGGTAATGTAATCACTCCGTTCCCCTCAACCTAGCCGGAGGTGGCTGTCCCTTACCAAGGAAAGTGGCTGTCCCTTATTAAAGAAACACCCCTCCTGTTGTAGGATTTGGATTAACATCCTAGACGTTCATCTACCGATGTGCGATCGCTTTTAGCGCGCCGTAGCGCTACAACACCTCCCCTCCCCTCTCCCCCCTTCCCTCACCCGATATCCCCCGCCGGAAGAACCCCCCGATGATGGTGTCCCGGCTCCTGCTCAACCCCAGGCCCGCCATCACCGCCTCCACCCGCCGCCGCTTCTCATCCGCCGACATGCCGCGGGGCAGACGCAGCCGACCCGCGTACGACAGGGTTTCGTACACGGTGAGGGTCTCGTACAACACGTCGTCCTGCATGCAGGGGATGCGTGTACGTGTGCGTGTGCGTCCGCGTGTGAAGGAAACTAGACGCGTGTAGCAGTAGCAGTAGCAGTTGCGGCGGTGGCGGCGATATGACTTCCGTCACGGCAGGATCAATAGCAGCAGAAATAGCCACAACAGAAAAACAACAGCAACAGCAGCAAGGGAGCAGCAGCCCACCTGCAGCACGAACCCAATCCTCCGCCGCACCGCCTTGGTGAGGGGCGCTCCGTCCACCGTGACGGACCCGCTCACCGTAACCTGCATGCACGCATGCATGCGGAGGTGATGGGGGGAGGGGGGGGGGTCCGAGATATACCAGAACCACAGGTTAGGGCAAAACAATGGGGTTGGTTGGTTGGGTGGGTCTGTAAGAAGGGATGGGTATTCCACGCAGGGTGGTGTGTGGGGGGGCCCATGCATGGGCGGTTGGGGGCCCCACTTTGGTTTGACCTTTGCAATCGTGGTTGTCGTTTTACCAACCTTAACCCTACCTCCACATGCTGCGCCGGGGCCCTGCGTACCACCCTGTAAACCTCACCCCCCCCCCAGTTTACCACCAGTTTTCTTAACACAACCCCAACGCCCCATTAAATCCCAAAAACCCCCAAACCCCCATCCAACCCCACTCCTCACCCCCCCACACCTGCGCCGGCGCCCTGCCCCCCAGCACCGACAGCAGACTGGTCTTCCCGCTGCCGCTGGGGCCCATCAGGGCTAGCACCTGGCCTGCGGGGGGGGGAGGGGCGGGGGGGGGTCGTAGGCGTGGCGGATGAGCGCTTGGATGTTATTGTGGATATCGCCAACTCGGATGCATTTAACAGAGCCAAGCGTGCTATGCTCACAGGCCCCTACGCGCATGATCACTATCGGTACGCGGAAACACTTGAAATGAGGAGTGTAGAGTGAAGTGCGGTGTGGTGTGGTGACTGGAGAATGCGACTCTTCATCCCACCTCACCTGGAACCACCCGACCCGACACGTCGAACAAGATCTGGCGTTTCGGTACGACTGAGGACTTGGCCGCGCCGCCGCTCGCCGCACTCGCTTTCCCACTGGCCGTCGTCGTCGCCGTCGCCGCCGCCGCTCCGCTCCGTCGCTCGCCGACCCACGCCGCCGCCTGCCGCACTCGCTGTAGCAGCGACGGCGGTTGCAGTTGCGCCGACACGTACGAACTGATTCGATCGAACCGCAACACCACTTGCTGATGTGGCTCCAATGGCGTCATGATCTCGCCGTACTGCGGCGCACTGGGGCCAATGGCGGCGGCGGCGCCGCCGCCGCCTGACGGCGTCGCGACGGACGCCTCGCCAGCGCCGCCGCCACTCGCTCCACTCGCCGCGCGAACGACTCGATGCATGACAGCGCTCGCCCAACCGCTGCCACTGGTGCTGGTACGATGCTCGCTGCTAGGGGTAGCCGCGCCGCCTCCATTGCCGTACTCCTCGCCGCCGCCGCCAGCGGCGGCGGCTGCGTCGCCTTCATCGTATCCCCCGAAGCCGGCGGCTCGTTCCTCGAAGCAGGCGGGTCGAGTGCCGCTGCGGCGCCGCATGGTCTCTTGTGCGGGCGCAGGTAGGTCTTGAGGGCGGTAGACGGTAGCGGGTGGATGGGGAGAGGAGCGGTAACGGGGGCGGCAGCAGCAGGATGGAGGAGCGGAGGGGAAGGAAAGAATAGACGTCAAGAGAGGAGAGGAGAGGATCTGGGCGGTTGCTGAGTGAACACTAACAGGAACTCGGGCAGCAGACACAGCCCGCCCCTTCTCCCTCACCCATCGCAACCAATACACCCACGCGTGCCTTCCCCACCCGGCAGCCCCCCCCCTCCTCCTCACCCGCAAACCCACCACCCCCTCCCTACCTGGATCCGCCCCCTCGTACGACACCATGGGCAGTACGACACCCACCACCCCCTGAGCCTCCGCGCTGTGCATGGTGGCTGCCTCCAGTTGGTTGCGCCGCCGCTGCTCCTCCTCGCGCCACACGTCGGGAGGAGGGTCGGAAGATATCGCTGCTGCTGCTGCGGCGGCGGCGGCGGCGGAGGTGCCGGATGCTGGCCCTGCAGCTGGGGAGGAGTTGGCGAAGGCGGAATGAAGCGGCGGCGCCGAGGGGGGCATTGCCGCCGTGGCGGCAGGCGGCGGGTAGGTTGCAGACGTTAGGGCGGGAGCCTCAGAGGCGTGTGGGCGGGTTTGAGGGGAGGGCTGTTGGAAGGAATGGCGCTGCGGGTGGTGTGGTGACGGAGGCGGCGGTGGAGACTGTTGAGACGGCGGCGGAGGCGGGAAGGGAGGCGCTGCTGGGGGACCGTCGTACGAATGACGGTTGTGGCGGTTGTGGCGGTTGGGGTCCATTGCTGTGCAGGAGGGCTAGGGATGTTGTACAGGGTGAAGAGGAGGACTGTCGTTGGTTGCCTATGCGGAATGTTGTAACAGAGGTGTGGGACGGGAAGATAGACAGCAACCAGCAGCGAGACTTGGGAGGCGCAGCTGTAAGCCAGCTGGCTGGCTGCCGCGGTCGCTGACGGAAACAATGAAAGCAGAAAGCTCCGCCGCCGCCACCTCACAAGCAAGGGGCCCCACAGCAGAGGGCGCTTCACAGTGTGCGTTGTCCAAAGTACGTTACGCCACGCCGACCCTTCAAGAGCCGTTTAAGTCCTGCACGTCTTCTTGTAGGAAGTGTGTCTCTTCTAAAACGCTGAACAAAGTGAATGAGCGATGTAATTCCTGAAAGAGGGGGGATGCGCCGCCAAGCGGATCCGGACAATGACCCGTGGGTCACTGGATCAACGATTTGCGCCTCTCAGCTTTGTATCTGTTCTAATATGTTTCTTGTTTTGTTTTGCCTTTAGTAGCAGGCTAAAAGCGCCCGGCACCTTGAACTCAAGCGGCGCGGTGTAAGGGGTTGACAGAAAGAGGATGCTCCAGATCTATAAGGTGCCAATGAAGAACGCGCAGAGGCTTTGATAAATGGGCGCATTAGTGTGATGACGCAACGTTTTTGGACCTGTGGTTGCGATCCTGCCGTGCATTCCCTTTACGTACAGAATGGGCCTTTTTACCGCAAACATCGGAGCATGTAGTTGGGGTTTTACGGCGGGTTTATTCCATGTAGGGAGTTCCTTTGTAGTCAAGTTCAGCTGTAAGGCAGGTTGGAGTAAAGGCAGCAGATTTAGCTTTGAAATTTGCACCGAAAAGGCTGTCTGGCTTGTAGCAAAATTGTTCGACATTGGTCGCTAGCAACTTGTTATGCGCCCCTACCTTTAAACGGTAGGTGTCTTTCTACAACGCAGAGAGCATGCATGCGCGCGGCCGTTCGTTTGCGATCCCACAAGCAAGTGTGCAGATTTACAACGACAGGCTTAGGGCGTGTGCGTGGACGTTCGGTGGGTTTCCAGCATTGCGTCCAACGACGCTTTTCGGTACCTGCTAGCAGAGAAAGAGGTTCTTCCGGAGGGGAGCGGGAGCGAGTGTTGGTCCACCGTGTAACGTGCACCAGTGACCTCGTAGTGTGGTGCGACGTGACATGGCGGTGTCAGATCTGACGAACAAAAGCTTGCACAATACCCCCTCCCGCATTCACACGGGTTCCATCCCTCCTGCTCGATTGGCTGCAACTTGTTGCTGCCGTTCTTGTTGTTGGTAGTGGGGCTGTCGTTGGTACTGTTGCTCTTGTTTTACAAGCCGCGCCTGTGTGCCTCTTGAGGGACAACCTTCCCCACCCCAGCACCCCTTCACGCTCCCCGCCACTATATAAGACAGCCCTTTCTCCCCGTCCCTTTCTCTTCTGCTGCTATTCTGCTCCTAGCATACAGTACATAGCGCTCTCTTACTTCATTAATTGCTTATCGTTCTCTCTCGGCGCGCACCGTAATCCGTAAAACACTTCACACCCCACCTCACAACACGTCTCACGTCACACGTACGCGCTTGCCACATGACGCCCTCAAAAGGCCCCTCTCCCGCGTCCGCGCACAACGAACGGGTGAGACGACGACCCAAGGCAGCGGCCAATGAACCACCACGCACTTCATCACGGTTTTCCCACGTACTTTTGTGCATGCATGCAAGCAAGCCAGCATATGCGTGCTTGCTCCATCCTCCACCATTGCCCCCTACATACAACAACTCCCGATTCGGTCATTCCCAACCCAGATATGTTTGTTGTCCCATTTGCTCCAGTGTCGTCACACGCACACTCAAAGTAGCGTCGGTTCATCATCACGTGTCGGACGCATGGCATGCCCTTTTGCCACCAACACATCACCTGATGCCACCCCCCGCCTTCCCTTGCTTTCCCTTTCGCATTCCCTGCATGGGGCAACCACACCTCACAAACACGCACCCGCAGACACACGCCGGCGGCCGGTTTCTTAAACACACGCCTGCTAAGTTTCAGAAAGCCTCTTCTTCAATATGCCAGTTTGCCAGGTACGGCATACGTGCACCGCGCCACGTCCCAAGCTAGGCCGAGAATCAGATCTGCTCCACGGATACCTTTCGAGAAGGGCCACGCAACTGCACAAAGCCCATGTCCATGACCCAGTCCCGGTGCTATGAAACTAGTCAATGCCCGATTGAAACTCACCCAAACCCAGCCCCCGCCCTGAATATACGTGAGGCAGGTGCGAAGATAAAGCCCCCACTGTGAAAGGGCCAGGATAGCCCCCCGACTCAGGAAGGCAAACACACATACACCACACACATAACCCTTCAAAGCACGCATTCAAGCAAGACGCGTAATCACAACGCGCGCATGCGTGCACACGCAAGTCCTACACCCCCATACGGACGAGCTGTTGCATGTACATATAACTCTAGCGTAGCAGATGCCACCACAAGCCCCACAACCGCCTCTCCCAGCTCTCTACACAGCAGCACCCTGAACAAGAAGCCCCTACGGCCCTAGCACAGCACAGCAACACCCAGCCATTGTAAAAGCGGCGGGTTACCAGGGCAACTCAACGACCCTGGGTGAGGGAGCCACGCCAAAGCTCCCTCCCATGCACTCCTCAACCCCAAAATCCAGGAGCCAACAGACAAGCAGGAAGCAGCAGCCAGACATACCGGTCGCTCGGTACAGCAGACACGGCAAGCACACCACCTCAACTTCCTTCTCAGGAGTCTCAACTTGAGTAAGTAGCCACATCACCATTGTCTGGCAGCACTTCCTCACTCCCCCATGTGAGGTCATCAAACGAGCGCAAACGCGCAAACACGAATATCGTCCAGCGACCACCAATCCCTTCATCCTGAAGGATCGGTCCGAGAACCCGTGACAAACGCAGCTCTTCTTTTCTTGTTCTCTTGGTAAAATGAAGCAAGCATGAACACATATACAGGCGACTTGTTAGCACACAGACACACATACGCGTATGCATTTGACATCCCTTCAGCGCTCCCAAATAACATCCTCGTCGGCAGCCCAACGAGTCAACACCGCAACTCTACTCTTTCTTGGCATTGCGGTAACGAGGACTGTGGAGGGCAAACCGCACCTGAATAACCCCTGGTTCCTCATTCCCCGCCATCACGTTGTGGACTACTATCGGGAACAATAATTTAGAAGAGTACACATCAGCCCCAAACAATAGGCGGGTTTGACACCTCCCCATAGCAGATATGATGGCCGCTATTGCAGCAACAGGAACATCAGAAGGAGCGATCAACCTGGCATCCCGGCAGCAGCAGCAGCAGCATTAGTTGCTACAAAAGACAACAGCAAGCACTCAGCTGCTGCGGACCGTCTCCATCCAGCGGCACTCTTCGGCAGCTTTAGCGTGGGGAAGGGAAGGGAAACCGGCATGCACCAGGGGCCCGCTACTCTCTCTCTAAGCAACCCAATCGCGATACGAGAGCCTTCCGAATTCATATAACCCAACCTGGGATTAATCGCACACGCGACCGGCGTGTATCATGTACTTTCACCTCTTTCGAACCAACCCTGATCATTGGTACATGTCGCTATATCGAATTATCGCGTCTGCTGCCACCCCATCCGCACGCATTCGGTCACCTCACGTGCATGCAAACTATTAGCGCTCAAGAGGCACACAGCAGCCGTCTGCCCACCTTGTATACCGCACCAAGGTTGCAGTCAGGTGACAGGTGACAAACAAAAAACAAAATCGCCTAAAATCGTCTTCCCATCCGACTGCTATCTTCAGAACCCTTCAATTCAATAACTCCCGACCAGCAAACTCCCTGTCCTCCCTCCCTCCCTGCCTCCCTCCCTGTCCTCCCTGCCTCCCTCCCTGTCCTCCCTGCCTCCCTCCCTGTCCTCCCTGCCTCCCTACCTGCCTCCTTCGGGAGCACACGGTGCGCTACACCAGCAGAGCTGTCTCGCCGCGTCGGAACCCGGCACGCGTCACCACCTCACGCCGCCTCGTCCCCGCCCCCGCGGCCCCCTCCACCACCCAACGCGATGACGCCTTATCACACGGTTCGCTAGTCGCTTTCTCTTTATCCTCCTCCCATCCCCTCCCAGCCCCTCCTCCCCCGCCTCCCGCCTCCCCCCTCCCAGCCCCTCCCGCTCACACGAAGCCCCCCGGCCTGCTCCAGTACATGATGTCCAGCTTGGACACGCAGCCCGACGCCACCACCTCCTCCAGCATGTCCACAACAGCTGTGAAGTTGGGGCGCAGGTGGGGGTCCTGGGGGGGTATCGTGAGGGGGGTATCGTGTATAGGAGGTTACTAGAAACGGGGGTTGGGCGGGAGCGGGGGGAAGAGGAATAAACCAAACCTTAGGAAACCACGGCGGGAGGGGGGGTATCAAGCCATACTACAGCACAGCCATGCAACACACACAATCCACAACCCAACCCCTGGATGCTTCTCGGGGTTAACTAAGTCAAGCGGTCTCTGGGCTGGGTTTCGGACATTGGGACATTCTTCGTTTTTTTCTCCTTCTGTACCCCCCCTCTAGCCTCCCCTCACCCGGGTCACCCCACCTCGTCATACAGTTCGTCAGTTTCCTTACTTTTACCCCACCCCGCCAACCCACCCCACCCTAACCCACCCCGCTACCCCACCCCACCCCGCCCCCCCTACCTGCGCCCAGCACATGGCAATGAGCTCCCGCAGCGCATCGGGCCAGCGGCGGGGGATCTCCGGCCGGAAGCCGCGAGCAACGCGCTCAGCGTAGGCCTGTGCGTGGGAGGGGAGGGGGGCGGGAGGAGGAGAGGTACGGAAGAGGTTCGAAATATTCGGTTAGTGTTGCTAACGACAGCGGTGATTCGGGGGGTGTGGTGCGGTCTGGGATGCTGTGATGAGAGCAAGTACTGATGTTGCTGAGTGAGGACCCTGCACGGGCGAAACACAGACTGGGGACGGAGGGGCGGCCTCCGAGGCCGCCCCACCCGCACTCCACCCCACCACCCCACCACCCCCGCCACCCGCACCTGCGCATCCTTCCTCGGGTCGTTCTTGATCTCATCCACCAGCATGAGCTTCCGGTTCAGCACCTCGAACAAGATCACCCCAAAGCTGAACACATCCACCTTCTCGTTGTACGGCTGACCCAGCACCACCTCGGGAGCCATGTAGGCCCAGGAGCCGACCGCCTCCGTCAGGTTGTATCTGGGGGGGTGGGGGGGTTGTGTGTTGAGAAAACTGGCCGTGAAGAAGAACATACTGGTTGTGCATGCGCGTGTTTGTGTGGCCACGTCTCCTCCTCTTTGGCATGCTCAAGTAAACGCACTTGCGTCCATTTACCAGGGGCTTCCTAATCCGGTTACCGTCAATTTTCCCTTTTTCCCACCCTCCATCCCTCCCTACCCCTCTCCCTCCCTCACTTCGTTGCCTCGTCCTATTTTTAACTTCCTCCCTCCCTCCCCCCCTCGTTGCAAACCATGATGACGCCTTATCATCCGGTCAGTTAGTTGTTTCCCCTTTACCCCACCCCCACCTAGGGTACTGGTGGGTGTTTCCGCGGCTCAGTTTGTCTACCGCTACTCCCCCACCTGACTTCGTTCACCCAAGTGACGGCCCGCCGCGGGGGTGCCCGCCTGCGCTCCGAAGCCGCCGGCCCCGCCATGATTCCCAGGTCGTCCATGATCTGTGAAGGCGGCGATTGGGTGGTGGGGGGGTGGGGGGAAGGGCAGCGGGGAAGGGGGCGGAGGACGGGATGATGCGGCAGGAGGGGGCACAGGGGAGGACGCAAAGAATGGGAGTACGAGTGCAGGTGTCAGACAAGGTACGGCATCCAAAGGTAAGGTTGGTTTCCTGCCCGGGGTGGGCCCCCACATGGATGTCGGGGACTCAGTCGGGAGTCAGATGGGGATGCTAGACGCTGGGTCCGCCTGCTGCCAACCACAAACCCTGCTGCCACTGCACCGCCACCCCAAGCACACACACGGTTTCTCAACGCACACACGGTCACGGACGCCCGGGTGGGCTCGCGTCCCTCACCACTGAATGTGTATCGTCGGCCCAACGCATACGGGACAAAAGCGTGCCCCATGTATGTGGCCACCCACTCACCCCTTCCTTCTCACCCTCCCTCCCCTATCCCGCCCCCCTCCTCCCGCCACCCCCCACCTGCGCCTTCTCCGCTGCAGCCATGGTCGTGTTTTGCTGCTGAATCATCTTATTCAGCAGCACCTCGTTCTGAGCCATCTTGGCCGCCCGCTCCGCCCGCGCCTCCTCATTCGGCTGACCCCCAGCCGCCTCCGCAACACCACCACCTCCGTTCACAACCCCGTTCACAATCCCCTCCACCGCACCCGCACCCACAGCGGCTGCACCCGCACCTCCCTCCTCAGCCCCTCCCAGCAGCGTCTTAGGCGTTCCAGCGGGCACCGGCGTGGAGGCAGCAGCAGCAGCAACAGCAGCAACAGCAGTAGCGCCGGTTGAAGACGTCTCACCGGCCAGAACCCCTCCCGCTGCTGCCCCTGCCGGGCCTGCTGCAACACTAGAAGAGGAGCCGTTAGTGGCGGTTACGGAGCTGCTGCTGCTGCCGCCCTCACCCACTCCACCTCCCGCACTCATCTTGCCAGTCACTCGCAACTTGATCTCCTTCATCTTGGCCATCAGCTTCTGCATGGAGTTCTGCTTCTTGGGCGGCGCACGCAGCCGCCGTACGGGGTCCTGGGCGGAGGCGCCCTGCATGTGTGGGTGGGTGTGGGTGTGTTTGGGAGGCAGGGGGCGGGGGGCGGGGGCGGGGGGAGGGACGTGTGCGTGCGTGTGTGTTTACAGGCAAGTGGGGCCACGTAACTGCACTGACTTTGTGGATGTGCATGGAGAAAGGGCCGGGAAGGGGACGCGGGAAGTACGAGGAACGGAGGAAAAAGGGGAGCTGAGGGGTTAAATGGGGACGAAGTGCTGGAGGAAGGAGGTCAGCCCGGGTGCACAACCCCCCCTGGGTAGTCGTAGCTGTAGCTATGGCTCTGGGCTCCACCCCAACGCTGCACCCAGGGCCCCAACCCACCTCTGCTGCCGGCGCTGCCGCCGCTCCTCCTCCCGCCGCCGCCGTGGGGCCCTCCTCCGGAATCGGCGGCTGCGGCGGCCTCCCCAGCGGCGACCGAGAGAACGACCCCGCCCGCGCATCCACCGCAGCCGCAGCCGGCGCCTCCTCCTCCTCCACCTCCTCTTCCCCGTCCTCGCTCACCGCCGGCATGGTGGCACCGCTTCCGGCATCACCGCCCGCGCGGCGAAGCCGCGCCGTCGGACTCGCAGCACCGCCGCCGCCGGAGGCGGCGGCGGCAGCGGCGGCGGCAGAGCCGCCGCCGCCGCTGGCCCCTGCCCCGCTCCCCCCTCCCGCCGCACCCACACCCGCCCCCGCTCCCCCCGCAGCTGCCGCCGCCAGGAGTGCCGCCTGCTGCTCCCTGCGCTGCGCCGCCAGGGCCGCCTCCAGCTCGTCCTCCTCCTCCCCCGGCAGCTCCGCATCCGCCGCCTGCTGGTGACCCAGGCGCCGCGCCAGCAGCCCGCCACCCCCCATGTTGGCCTCCGACATGACGCGCTTGACCACCTTCTTGATGCGGTCGTCAATCACCTGGAGAAGGGGGGGGGGGAGAAGATGTACAGATGGTGCAGGGGATGAGGGCAAGGGTGCACGGTTCCAAGACGAGCGCGAATCTCTTCACCGTCCGGTATCCACTGTACGTTCTTCCTCGCGGTGGCACACAGTCCCAGTTTCAATGCCAGTTGAACGGCCAGTTTATTAAACCCACCCACCTACCCACCCACCCGCTCACTGCATGAGTCGTGATATGGGATTGGGACTCGTTGTTTCATTTATATATTTTATACCCACCCCCACCTTGTGCAGCCCAAAGTCCACCAGCTTGGCCACCGTGCCGCTGGGCACCTCCTCGCAGGGCATCAACATGATGTTCTCCAGCTTCAGGTCGCGGTGGATGATCATGGGCTTGATGTCGGAGCTGGAGTGCAGGTACTCCATGCCCGCCGCCACGTCACACAGCCACTCCAGGGCCTCCGCGGAGGTGTAGACGCACTTGTGGCGGTTGAGCATCTGCTTGTAGACCTGCATGGGGGGGAGGGGAGAGGGGGGGAGGGGGGAGAAATTCCAATGTGTGGTGTGATAGTGGTACATTTAGCTGACAAGCCCTGGTGGAGGGGCGAAGCCAGTACAGCCCTTGGTTCCCTGCACTATACTTCATTCTCCTAGGAGGGGAGGATGAGAGGTGGGAGGTGGGGAAAGAGGAGACGAGGAACGGATTTTGTGATAGGGCGTCGCCAAGGGCTGCAAACATTGTGAGACAGCCCGACCCGCCCAGCCCAAATTGGGAGGTGGGTGGGAGATAGGAGGAAGGTGGGAGGGAGAGGCTATGAGGTTATGGGGTTGGAGAGGGAGGGAGGCAGGGAAGTAAGGGAAACGGGTGAAGGAGGGCCGTGTATGCAGGGGGTTGAGCACAACAGACTAAAGGGCCAGCAGTAAGGCACTTTGGTTCCTATCTGAACCTGCCCCCCTAGCTTACCACTTGGTCAGTTAGTTGTTTCCTCTTTACCCTACCTTGTGCAGCAGGTTTCCTCCCCGCACCAGCTCCTGCACGATGAACAGCGACCCGGGGTTCTGCTCGTCCTCATCGTCATACTTGCCGATGCCGTAACATGCCACGATGTTCCTGCGGGGGTGAGGCGGGGGAGGAGGCGTGGGTGCGGAGGATGGTGGTTTGGTCTGGCGGTGGGGACAGGTGGAGAGGGTACTTGAGGAGGGGTAACGAGGAAACAACTAACTGACTGAGGGATACGGCGTCAACATGGGTTGCAACATGTGAGGGGGGGGGTTGGGGGTTGGTCTGGGGTCAAGTTGGGCGGCAGAACAGAACAATGCAAGATAAGGTAACATTGGGATGGGGAGGGGTTACTCGGCAGGAGGAGGAGGCGGGGGATCTGCGTAGGAGGGTGGTGAAGGGTGCAGCGGTTAAAGATGTGTGAGGGAGGCAGTGGGCGCGATGGAGAGGGAGGAAGGCAAGCAGGGGAGAGCTGTGTGGCTCACACTGCATTCAATGACGGCGGGACCGCGTCAGCCCACATGTGGCTGCACGGCTGATGTGTCAAACATGGTTGTGTTGTGGATGATGCACGGCCGCCGGGGAGTTTAAGCAAAGGTTACATGCGAAGCGAAGATTTGCCGCAAACCCTGACTGCGCGGTGTCTCACCTGTGGCAAATCTTGGTCATAATTTTTGCCTCCTTGATGAAACGCAAGCAATCTGATCGCCGCTTCAACATATTCTTCTTTAGGATTTTGACCGCGACTACGCTCTCCTCTAGCGTGTCAGGGTTTGTGTAAATTCCCTCATACACGCGCGAAAAGGCTCCTTCGCCAATCGGATTGAGGATTTTCACCCAGCTCGCACTAAACACGATGGACATAGAGCTAGAGTCATTGCGAAAACTGTCTTGGTGACTGGGAGGGCGTCTAAATGAGTTCTCCCTTCCTATGAACGAGGCAGTCCGAGTGGCACCCTGATGTGTCGAGAGACCACCCTGCAGCTGTGCTTGCGCTTGATGTTGTTGTGGCTGCCTATTCCAACGCGGGTCGAGCTGGTAATTGTCCATCCCTAAAGACCGCTAGCCTGCAAACGAGGCGTATAGTCGTATTACGAGGTAGAAGAAAGCGACACAGTTTTAATGAAGTATATGCTGAGGATGACAATAGGCTTTACGGGCGGCGAACCATTGCAAGCCAGGTGCGGCATTACCTGGGCACAGGCGTTCCTCCCCAGGAAATGTTCCGGTAAAACCGCAAGTATACTTCAGAAGGTTATATTGAAGGAGTTCGAAAGCTACTACAAGAGGGCGTGCAAGTAGAGCTTTAGCCTACATGCGTGTAGTGAACAACCTATGTTGGAGTTGATGTAGCTTAAGGACGGCCACCGTCTGCCCAACTGAGAAATCTAGGACGGAGCACTGTAGACATGGAAGACCATCAGTGTACGGAAAACCGCGATTAAGTATTCCTGCATTTTGCCGAAGCAAAAAGTCACATTGCGTACAGGGCATTGGCACATGTCAGGTTTACCGAGTATCGTGCCGTTAGCATGGGAACTGGCCCAGGCACGGTACGTTGGCAACACGGCAGTGGCGTTGGTGTGGTAAGCGATGTACCCTTTAGGTATAAGCAAAGTGATAATGCAGTATGTCATGTCCTTTCGCTGGCGTTGACCATTGCAACACCTGCTCACGTGGCCTTGATACAGCACATAATTGCATAGCTATGTCGTTTGCCTTTAGATGAGCTTGGGACGGCCATCAATCTTGCACCAACCCCGCATATCAGAAAACGAAGATATAGGGCCATTTTACCAGCCCCGTGACAGCCAACTTCTTAGCCCTGATTCCATAACGCTTATACCAAGGGCATTGTCAGATCAACGTACTAAGGGCAGCCTATAAAGCCCGTTGTACTGTCTAGCTGTGTCCTGGTTGACATCCCACTCGCCGCCCTTCCTAGTTGTCTGACTACCGGGATATGAGCCATACACCTCCCTACTTCTCCTCCAGAACACCCCTCCAGTCTACACACGATTTGCTTCGTCAACACCTTAGCACCTGGCCTTACAGCACAGGTGAACACATCTCCCAACGTGGTTGTGATCGCTGACAACATCTCACCCACCATCCACCTAGAACCGAGTGCATGACCGCGGCCCTCTTAGGATCCTAGGAGCCCGCCATGCTAAGAGGGTATCCATGCCCCTAACCTGACCCTCGACCGACCCCTAAAGGCAAGGAACAGCTGTGCCCATAGAGGCCCACATGCGCCCTTTGCCCCACCCAATCCGCCCTTTCTCGCACCCATGCCACCACACCCCAAGAAGCTGCCCCCCCCCAAAGCTCGGGCGATGCTGCCCTCGGAATGATTCCTAACCGCAAATGGCAGCGCAGGCAAGACTCGCACTTCATTTCGTACGAGATGCACCTGTTCACCAAAGTTTACAATAGCAAGCCGTACTGCCGAACGGCCAACTGAACACCTTCCCACGACACCACGAGCGTAATCCTCGCCTCTCTCCGCTCTCAACGGGGAGGACACAGGGGGCGCTGCTGTCGTGTTGTACATGGCTCCCAGACAGGTCTGCAAGCCGTGCTGCAGCTGGTGGGGGGAAATCCCGGTGCTGTCTTCTTCTTCTTCCTCCAGGGGTGCAAGATGCGAGGTATGGTATGCGAGGCAGCAAGTGGCAATCACATGGTACCGACTACCGCTGCCGACCTAACAGCCAGCTACCCAAGACCTGCCCCACATGCTGTTTCCCCTCCTCGGCAGCGCCCAGTCCTCGTCTTCTGTCTCCCTTCGTCTTCCTTGCATGGGCAGAAGGGCTGTCCAACATAACACGTAAAGCGCACGTCGCCAACCGGCCAGGGATGCCTGCCCTCCGTGCTCTATCAAGACCCCCCCCGCCGCCGCCGCTGTCACCACCACCGCAGCAGCAGACAACGCTGACAGAGGCTGCCCAGACACCCAACCGGACAGAGGCTGCCCAGACGCTGCCCAGCGGCGCCCTGGGAAGAAGACACGGCCGCCTAGTGCTGAAAGATGCTGCTCCTTACGCAACAAAGACTTGCGCCTCCGCAAGTTTCCGGTACACCGCCTGACACAGGGGTGGGTGAGCAAGCACATGTGTGGGTTCAGAGGAATGGCGTGTTGGGATTCAGGGGGGGGGGACATGCAGCAACTGCCAGCCTTCGACTTTCCGGGAGCCAGGTCAGTTAGTTTCTTCCTCTTTTTACCCCCCTACCCGCCTCGGTCCCCCCACCTGCGGCAACCTCGCCCCCGGCAGGCTGTTCGCGTACTGCGTGATGACCGCCAGCTCCGTAGCGAGGCCCACAGCCGCATCGCGACCCACCGCCTGGCGCCGAGCTGCGATGCTGTCCGCTGCGGCCGCGATAATGTCCTGGGTGGGCGGAGGGAGGGCGGCGGGAGGGTAAAGAGGAAACAACTAACTGACTGAGGGATAAGGCGTCAACATGGGTGGCGGGAGGGAGAGAGGGCAGTGTGGTGAGTGTAGGGGTGGTGGTGGTGGATGTAAGGAGGTTGGGTGAAGCCAAAAAGAGATGGTAAGGAGCTCGCCCTTCTTGCTCTTGGATCATTTCTTACCCCGACTGCTACCCCTCGGATTAGTCCGTTCCTTCCTCATTCCTCTCCCGTGGCGTTTTTGGGCACATCAACTTCCGAGATTTCAGTACCTTCCGACTCCTCGCGGCCAGTTTCCTCCACACAAGACACCTCCCCCCCACACACACCTCCACCCCCATTGCTTTGCCCTAACTTGTTGTCTCCTATGGTTTGGTGTGGTCTGTTTGCCCCCACACGCACCTGCAGCCTCTCCGCCAGTGCCGGGTGCAGCTGCGCGCTCATGCGCACACACAGGTCCACTCGGGAGCGCTCCGTGGGGACGAAGGGCAGCTCGGACAGCCGCTGGAGGGCCTGAGGGGGGCAACAGCAGGAGGGGAAGGGGGTGGGGGGGTAATTGGGAGACACATACCGCATTTGGCTGGATGATAGGATTGCGTATAGCCATACTTGTTGGGTTAGTAGCAAAAGGGGGAGGAGGGAGGGAGGTAAACAGGGATACATATTCAGCATTTGAGGGAAAGGGGGTGGTTTGAAGGATACTAACTAGGTGGGCGGGGGCGGCTTGGCTGGGGAGGTGCACACGCTGGGGCGCAGAAGGAGAGGGGGAAACAGTGGAGGTGCAGACACAAACAGACCTCAGTACGGCAGGAATTGCTAGGGATTTAGGGTGTGCGTTTGCGGTAGGCGGCAGCGGAACCCTGCCGTACCTGGTCGTGCCGGCCCCTCCGGGCCGCCAGCAGCAGCTCCCGCACCACCCCCAGCTGCTGGAACGCCTCCAGCTCCCGCCTCGCGGCAGGGTCAGACGCCAGGGCTGCAGCAGAGGAGAAACCACCAGCACCACCACCTGCTGCGGCGGCTCCGAAACCCATCGGACTAGGTGCAGCAGCCACGCCGGCAGCTGCACCTCCCCCCCCTCGGAGGCCGGTGAGCCGCTCCGCAGCTGCCCGGCCGCTGCGAGCGAGCCGCTCCAATCGCTCCGTGGCGGCACCTGGGGGGGTGGGATTGGTAGGTGGTGGGATGGGAGGACGACATGGCTGTTAGGTTTGGGGCTGTTAGGGAAAAATGGGGCATGTGTCGGAATGGGAGATGTAACATGTTTGAAGGCCTAACCCGGGATGGCATAGGGGCCTTTCGGCGTTACAGGAGACGGCAGTACACTGGGGCTGGGGGGTTTCAAGGAGTCACGACCTGGACGGCAAGAATGAACACGGGGGGTGAGAGGGTGGAGAGCCGGTGGAAGGCGCCGCCTGCGCCGCGTGTATTCACTCACCCGTCCCTGCTGCCCCTGCTGCTCCCGCCCCCGCCTCATCCACTGCCGCCGCAATGGCTGCCGACATCTGTCCGTTGATGAGCGCCAGTGCGGCCACCGGGCGGTCGGCGGCCAGGTACAGCTCCACCGCCTCCTCGGGCTGGGCGGACATCTGAAGTGGGGAAGGGGGAGGGGGAGGGGAGGAGAATACCCAATGTGTTGTGTGACAGAGGGGCCGGGAGAAGAGGGGGGCGGGGAGGAGGAAACAGGATTGAAGTAAGACTATGCATGCCCCATGGCCCGACTGGGCACAATCGGTGAAACATTGGAGGGAGAAGAAGGAGAGGGAGTAGGAACGTTGGGTACCCGAAAGAAACGCCATCCCTCCCGTTTCCCTTACGGTGTCGTCTGTCCTGACCCCCCTCTCTCTCCCCCTCCCCCCCAGCCCACCTGGCACTCGTACGCCACGCTCTCAAACAGCCTCCGCCGCTCCTCCGCATCCGGCACCAGTGCATGCAGCGCCCCCCGCGCCCCCGCGCCGCCGCCCCCCAGCAGCGTCCCAAAGTCCCGCCCCCCCGCCAGCAGCTCCCGCAGCAACGCGCCCTTCACTCCCAGTCCCCCGCCCCGCGCCCCCGCGGCCAGCCAGTAGTAGTGCAGTGCGGTGGCGCTGTCGCCCGCTGCCAGGAACTTGCGGCCGTATTGGAGGGCCATGGAGGCAACGTCGGCGGAGGAGGAGGATGTGGAGGAGCCGGGGGCTGCGGAGGGGGTGGCTGCCGATGATGCGTCTGTGGGTGGGGGGCGGGGGGAAGGGGGGAGGTGGGAGGTGGGGGTTGAGGAGGAGGAGGAAGAGGAGGGTTGGGGGTTAAGGATGGGATGACACCCGCAGGCAGGCAGGCAGGCAGGCTCGCAACGCACCCGCCTGGCCGCTGTGTGTCTCACCTTGCGCTGCCCCGCTGCCCCCACCCAGCACCGCCAGCGCCCCCTCCGCCTGCATGTGACGGCATAGCACAGCACACAGCAGCAGCAACAGCACGAGCGTCAGTTCCTACAGTCAGTTTCTCCAGCCAGTTTCTCTAACCTACCCAATGCTTCACTGCTTGTTCGTCTCCTGGACCTCCCTGCCGTATCGTACCCTCTACCCGACCAGGGTGCAGTTCACTCTCTTTTCTCTCTCACTCTTTCCTTCTTTACCTCCCTACACCCCCCCCCCACCTTATCACGCCTTATCCCCATGCCTTACACACGGTAAGTTAGTTGTTTCCTCTTTACCCACCCCCTTACCTTCCTACCCCCCATCCCACCCACTCCCACCTGCAGCGCCAGCCCGAGATGTACGGCATCCAATCTGTACGGCTTCGTGGTTTCATCCTTCCACAGGAAGCGTACGGCAGCACCCAGCTGCAGACTCAGCACCAGCACCGTCACATACAACAGCGGCTCGCGGTTCTGCTTGCTGCGGGGGGGGGGGGGGAGGGTTCATAGGGATACATATTGGGGGTGGGTGGGGAGAGGAGGAGAAGGAAAAAGAGCAGGGAAGGAACAGAACCCCCAGCACCCGCCACCGCCCCCTCCCCACAGTTACACGCTACCCCAACAATCCCCGCCTCATGCGGAATACCGTATGTACCCCTGCTAATCCCCACTCACTCCTCATTTCTGTTATTTTCCCCCTCTCTCCCCCTCTCCTCCCCCCCACCTGCCTTATCACACGGTCAGTTGTATCCTCTCCCCCCCCCCCGCACACACCTCAACTCAACTACACACCTATAGTATTTTTACACCCACCTATAGTACTGCGGCGGCCACCTGTTGATGTCCGCCTGCAGGTCCGCCAGCGTGTAGGGTGGCACACCCGCCGCCGGGGGCCCCCCCGCTGCCGCCGCCCCTCCCGCCCCGCCGCTGCCCGCCCCCACCAGCACCAGCTTGGCCCACATGAAGTCCTCAATGGTGGACAGGATGGGCGGCAGCTGCAGCCCCTGCAGCACACCGCCCAGGGAGTCCACGCAGCGGGCGTCGCCGGCGAGCAGCGCGCACACCAGGGCCTGGAAGGGGCGGGGGGTCAAAGACCATACCGAACCATAGGAAGCCACAAGGGGGGGGAAGCGGAAAACATTATATAAGTGAAACAACGAGTCTCAGAAACAACGAGTCCCAGAGGGATATCCAGTGTGGGGTGTGAAAGGTGAGTGGTGAGTGGTGGTGGTGGTAGGGATGGGAAGGGAAGTCTCGGCTAGGCCCATACGTCGCGTCCTGCGCACACCGCCCCATCTACGCTCTCCCCTAGCATCCCCCACCCATGGTCTTCCTGTGGTCAGTGTTTCCTAACGGCTCAGCATTCCTGCCACCACCCATCTGATCGTACAGCTCGTCAGTTTCCCGTGTTTTTATCCCTATCACCCCCCCACCCCCACCCCACCTCGTCAGTTTTCCTTAACTTTACCCCACCTGGTATGGAGCCCGTGGGGACTGCCTGAGGCCGTTCTTGTCTCGCAGCAACCGCTCAGCCTCCCGGGACAGCGCGGCGGAGGACCTGGGAGGGGGGAGGAGGGAGGGAGGGGGAAAGGAAGAATACCCAATGTGTTGAATGAGAATGGCAAACCAGACGACGTGCGAGAGGGCGGGAGCGGGAGATGAGGGGGGGGGGGGTTGGGGTAATGCCTAGTGTGTGTATAGGTGTTTACTCGGGAGGAGCTGTATGTGTCGGAATTGGGACCGGGCGGAGGGGATGAAGGGAAGAAGGGCAGGGGAGGAAGGGGGAGGGGGGGAGCACTGGAGCAGTGATGCCACGTCAGGACGCGGAGCTGGAAGCGGGCTGTTCCTCACCCAAACACGCCCCGTTGCACACAACCCCCAATACACATCCATCCCACCCCCACCCCCCAAACCCCACCCCGCCCCCCTCACCTCTCCGACAGCCTGCCCCCATGCGCCAGCCACTCCTCCACCAGCGCCCGCATGCCGCCCCCCCCGCTGCCCCCCGCCCCCATGCCACCCCCCATCAGCCCCAGCCCCAGCCCGCCCCCCACCCCCCGGCCGCCCCCCGCCCCCAGCATGACCAGGTCCGCGCAGCGCTCTGCCGCCCGGGCTGCTGCGCGGTCGTATCCGGAGCGCAGGCAGTAGAAGAGCTGCACCCAGGAGGTGTCCAGACCGCCGCCCGAGGAGGCGGAGAAGTCCAGCGGACCGCGGTCCCGGAACTTCACCTGTGGGTAGGAGGTGGGGAGAGGGATCGGCGGGGGGGGGGGAGGGGGTGATTGGGAATTGAGACATCCTGCAGGGACTCACCCTCCTCTGCACCAGGGTATTCATGGCACTGCGCATACCTGGGCACCACCCATCCATTCACCCTCCTTTACCCCCACCGTCCCACCCCCACCCGGCTCTCTAAACCCCATCCTGGCTCACATGTTTTGCAAACACCTTGATGATGCCTTATGACACGGTCAGTTAGTTGTTTCCTCTTTACCCACCCCTACCCCACCGCCCCCACCTGCACATACGCCTGCACCTCCCGCAGCGCATCCGGGTCGCTCCCCCGCTCCGCCACCAACTTGTAGCGGCTGATGGTGGCCCGCATGTGCGCCTGGTGCCCCCGCTCCAGGTGCGCCCGAGCACCCGCAGACAGCGCCTCCACATAGCGCTGACCGGCAGAGGAGGAGGAGGAAGAGGCGGGGGCAGGTGTGCCGAAAGAGGAGGCGGAGGCGGAGGGGGCGGAGGGTGTGACGCCGCGACGACGCGCCTCGCCTAGCACGTCTGCTAGCAGCGCCCAGACGGAGGAGATGGGGGTGTCGTGGCCGGGTGCCTTGTCCTCGTGCTTCTGAGGGGGGGGGGTGGCAGGGGAGGAGGAGAGGAGGGGAGCAGGGGTTGGTGTGGAGCGAGCAGGTGGTTCCTGGAAGAGGTGGCCTTTTGAGGAGAAGCAGGAGCATTCCGTCAGGTGTGTTCCTTCTTAAGAGAGCGGCTCGCCACGATGGAGAGTAGACACTTTGCTGTAGCCGTGTTTCCTCACGGCTCAGATAGCCCTCCTCCCGCATCCCTTCCTTGCAACCTGTGCGGCTCCCCCCCTTTGTCTTGTGGCACCCTGTCAACTCCTTCCCCCATTGCTTTGCCCCAACCTGCGGTTTCCTACGGTCTGGTATGGTCTTCAACCAGCCCCCCCCCACCCCCACTTTGCATGCGTCCAGGAACTCCTTCACCGCATCCAGTCCGGACGCGGGCCCCGCTGCCGCCTGCGCGCCCCCCGCCGCCGCCGTGGCCCCTGCCATGCGCTTCACCACCTCCACGTACGCGGTCTCCTTGGGGGAGAGGCGCAGCGAGGGGGCGCCAAAAGCATGGCCGCCTGGGGGAGGGGGTTGCGGGTGGGGTGTGGGGAGGAGAGGAGAGGAAAGCAGGCAGGCATGGGTTTGGAGGCGTGCCGTGGGGCAATGTGGCAGAACGGACATGCGCCACTGGCTTTCCCTTCTCGCCACTCCGACCCCTCCTCCCCAGTCCCTCCCCTGCACAGCGCCTCCCACACGAACGCGCTGCCACCTCACCTCCCGCGCTGCGCCCGATCAGCGGCTGCGCCCCTCCGCCGTACACCCCTCCTCCGCCGCCCACTCCCCCCAGGCTGGTGGGTGCAATGAGACCAAACAGCTGCCGCTTGTTGGCAGCCCAGTCGCGAGCCATGCACTGCTCCATGTACGACTCGAACGAGGCCACCGACTCCTGCTGGGCTTCCTGTCGGGGGGGGAGGAGAGGGAGAGGAAGGTAGGTGGAACAGACGTACCGTTAGTCAGTGCTCGGTAGCGTGGTCTCTTTCCAACCCCCCTCAACGCTCAAAGCTTCGAAGTGAAATGTTCCCCGCGCATCCAAAACCCGGCCGCGCTTCCTCGCAACCACGCGCATGGGTCCTAGGCACCCCCTCCCCCTCCCCCCTCCCGCCCACCTGTATAGCCGCCAGCAGCGTGGCCTCTTCCACCTGCTGCAGGTACTCCTCCACGCTGTTGGTCTCCGCGTGGAAGACGTCCTCGATGGTGGGTACGATCTCCAGCCCAACCACCTCCGTGGTCAGCCTGGGGGAGGGGGTCGAGAAGGCAAAGAGGGGGAGAGGGGGTGGAGAGTGGAAACATAGCGAAACTGACGAACTGTAGGATGGGGCTTCAGCATGGGGGTGGCGGGGGAGGGGAGTCGTGAGCAGCGGCAGTAGCACAGTAGCGCCAGCAATTATGACATGAGTTAAGACCCCTTAGGGCAGCAGTAGTAGATTGGATTTTGGAGGGTAGGAAATGGTGAGAGTACCATCAGCTGTGCTCCTACACCGAGTTTCGAATTGGTGGGTCTGGAACGAATAACTTGCGGGGGTTTAGGGCCCCAGGCTGGGGGCAGTGTCTGACCTGTTAGCATCGAACCCTTGCTGTGCAAGCAGACGGGTCGCTGCCGCTTGCTCCGCAGGCCCGCGATACCGGTTTGTGCGCGAACGTAGCGCATCGGCATACTGCTGCAGCTGTGGAAGGCTGCGCTCCACCCTGGGAACATTGTTGTAGTCCTGCAGCGAGCGTGAGCCCATATATTAATTGCGTGATCTAGCATGATTGTATGCGGCTGCAGTTCCTCTTAAGCCGCCAAAGGCAAAAGGATCGAGACAAAAGCGCACAAGGAAAGGTCCTGGACACACTAGCCAGTGTCTTTAAGATTAACGGCAATATGCTGTGCGTACCTGTCCTACTAAGTCAGCGGATTGCTGCACTAACGAAGTCCAGTCGAAAGAAGCGGCCATTTTGTAAAGGGCCCAGGCAGGGCGACCCTATAGTGTCTTCTGTTGTTGATCCTGACAGGGTATAGTTAAATGTCAACTGGTAGGTGGACAGAGTTGCTGAACACCCTCATCCCATTTTGGCGGGTACGTACAACTGAGATGAGTTCAAGAACTTCCAACGCCATGAATAAAGGTAGGAAGAAAACTTACTTAGTACATACTGCTTGCACTCTATATCTCCTAAGCCAGGGACGTCTGTCTCAGGTCCCCATTGTAAATAACTAGAGCCTGCGGACACTGTGATTTCTTGCATAAGGGCCGTCACTTCCTTCCTACAGCATAAAAGATAATTGAACCCTATACTTGAAAGGAATTGACGGCAACCACTTGTAGGTAACAGGTCCGCGGGGCCGCGTTCTAGCATTTCTAGCTCCTCTCACAGCACTACGTATACCAGACAAAGATCATGTCGGACAAGCCATTTGCAGCCGAGGCCGCCCAGTTTGGGCAGGCTATGAATGCCATCAACTACAGTGAGGTCGTCAAGGCAGCCGTTCGCGACTACAAGAGGGAGGTGTTAGACAAGCAGGCGCAGGACACGAAGAATGCGCACCAGTTGGTAGCCATGGACGATTTGATGGAGGACGAGGAGCTGCAGAAGTTGCATGAGGACCGCATCGCCCGGTTAAAAGCCGAGCGCGAGAAGCGTAACCAGCTTACACAGAAGGGGCACGGCACGTACTCGGAGATCACGGAGGGCGAGTTCCTGGAAATCGTAACCCAGACGGACCAGGTGGTATGCCACTTCTTCCACCGGGAATTCGAGCGCTGCAAGATCATGGACAAGCACCTCCAAGCACTGGCGCACAAATATTTCAACACGCGCTTCATCAAGCTCTCGGCGCCGGACTCGCCCTTCTTCACCGTCAAGCTCAACATCAAGACGCTGCCGTGCCTTGTCTGCTTCAAGAAGGGTGTTGCGATAGGGCGGGTGACGGGTTTCGAGGGCCTAGGGCGCGACGACTTCCCAACCGAAATCCTGGAGGACCGGCTGTTTAGCATGGACGTCATCCAGGTACCGGAGCGGGACCGAGACGAGGAGGACCGGCAGGACGGGCCGGGGAAAAGCATTCGGAAGAGTCTGCACTACCAGAAGACGGAGAGCGACGAGGATAGCGACTTTGACTGAGGGCACGTGGTTGGTGTGTCGGTGATGCGCGCTGCAAGGGGCATGCTGATCGGGTTGAGAGTATAGATGGTGGGGACACGGTATGCTAGGATGGCCGGTGTGGTTGTGGCCTGTCTTGTCTTGGCTGATAGATCGTTGGGTTGGGGCAGGGGTACAGCAGGGGTTCATTATTAATGACGCCTTGCGACATGAGGCGTGGACGACGTTCATACCATACATGTGCACGGAGCCTGGTCGCCATGTCGATCGCCATTACACGGAAGATGGCTATTGGCCAGGGGCTATTGCATAGGCTGTCACCGACCGCTGATTTGGGCCAACAGGGTCTAGGTGAAGTAGGACGATATAGCAATCCCGGAGGCCGAAAAGCAGCAGGCTTGCACATGGCGCTCAGTCAAAGCCAGAGTAGACACCGAACTCTCGTGCTTGCCGCTTGGATTCCTCCACATAGTTCTTGCCGCGCGAGGACTGCCCAGCGTCACGTTTCCGTTTTTCCTGCGGGTGTGAGGAAAGCAGGGTAGCATGTGTGATGGCGGTTGGGGGCGTTTAGGCGGTCGAGAAGAGGCGGGATGGATGATAGGTCTATCACATAGGGCGTCCCGGAGGCGTATGCTCATGCAATGGTACAGCGCATGACCGTTCACGTCCAAGGACTCAGGACGGCAGAAGGCCATTGGAACCGCGGGTGGCATGGGTGAGCGGGCTCTGGGTGTGTTGAGAGCAACAGGTTGCAAAGGGACGGGTACCGATAGGACACCTGAGGTAGCGCATGACGGTCCGTTGTGGGGCTAAACTATCCACGCAAGGCTCCTAATTGGCCGGGCTTAGCTGTAATGTTTGGTTTGTTGTGCAACCATGCAAGACAGGGGTCGACCCAGGGGTCGTACGTACCTTTTGGTTAAAGGTCGCGTGCTGCTTTTCCTTGGCCATCCGCGCCTGCTTGGCTTCCTCCCGCTCCTGTCGCGCCCCCTCACGCAGCCGAGCCGCGTGCTCCATGGCTTTCACCGCCAGCTCAGCGCTCTGCTCCACATCCTTGGTGGCGGCCTCTCGCGTGGCCGCTCGGTCCTGTGCACATGTACAGCATGAGGCGGTGATGGTGGTGACGGACATGGCGTGGGTTTGGAAGATGTGATGGAATATTAAGATAGAAATATTTGGATAGAGGTACGGCCTGTGTTAGCTAGAGGTACGGCCTGTGTTAGCTGCTGTGAGAGGGCCGTCATACTGGCGGGTTTAAACGCTAGTTATGCGCCTGAAACGGGAAATTGAGAAAGCGGAGCACACGCATGGCACGTGGTAGTTGAAGGCTGTAGCTATCTGTGGCCTGCGACCGAAGCACCTTGCGCTTCTATCCCGCCTCCCTGCAACCCTTTCTGGGAAAAGCAAAGGCCACACAGAGCAGGCACTCATGCGCTTGATTCCCAACATCAGCAGCAATCCCAAACGGACCATGGACACCAACACGCCAAACGCATACCTCGCCATCGCCATCCTGTTCCCGCTCCTTCGCTGCACGCCCGTTGGACCTACAGTAGGCAAGGGGCGCCAAACTGATGATGAGAGGGAACCGGGGTGGGGCAAAATTGTCCGTCGTTGGTCGGCAGCGTGATGCGAAGGCGCGGGAGGCATATCGCAGAAAAGCAACATAACCCTCCGCTGGTGCTATAAAGTCCGTACCAGTTCCAATTCTGCGGGCCCGTTTCTGAGGGTGGCTTAATAAACAGGACGCTGGGACCGCTTTTGTATCCAGCCCTCTCCAAGTCTTCCACGCTTAACACAGGTTTCTTTTTTGGAAGCTTCTGGTCCTCTTTCGCGTCCTCATAGTCGCTACCGCTGTTAGAAGCCGAGTCCACATCGTCAGATTCATCCGGGTCTCCAAGGGGCATGCCCATGAACTTATCTAGTTTCCCTTTTGCCGCTGGCTTTGACATGGCGTAAACTGAAAGCTAGCTGCGTACCGGTATGCGTAAACTTTTTGATAGGGTAAGGAGTAAGAGACCTAGCATGGATTAAACAATTGGTAGCGTGGTCCTAATGGAAGACAAAAAAACGCCTAAGAGTTCCAATGCGCCTATGTAGCTCATAGGCGATTAACATGCCCACCGTCTGTTACGGTGCCTTGGTCGTTGTGTACGTCGACGGTTGCACGAGTAATGTCAGGGCCTGAGGTCGTATTAAAAATCGCAGTTCTGTGGAAAAATGCGTCGAGGACATATGGAACGCTGCTCAGGTAATGAAGCGCGTTCAGGCGACCTAATGGCGAGCGAGGCCGCTGACTGCAGCGAACCGAACACCTGCTGGATCTGCTTCGACGGCAGCTCTGATGAATACCAGCTACAAAAGCCTTGCGCATGCCCTCGCTACGTGCACAGCGTCTGCCTCGGTCGCTGGCAGGTGCGCTATGCAACATCCGCGCCCATGCATGCCTGGCGACGCAGTATTCTGCGTCTAAGCATGCCCGATACCACCAATTTATTAACCAATAATTCCCAACATCTTTTTGCAGCTCCAATCGGCCGGTCGAAGGTAAATTTTGCAGCGGTCAGGACGCCTGATGTCATGTCACTATGGTCGCTGTTTCGCAACAGCCAACACATATGTACACTAGGCATGGGCGATGACCGCTCCCACTATATCCATCACGGTGAATAAGTTATACGCTTGGCATCCTACCGGAATACATGCATGCAGGGAGGAACGGCATTGCAGGTTCTGCCAACAGGTGAGTTGCCGCTAGATAGAGTCGCTAAGCTACCGGTAACGGGCCCTTTAGCCTTGCACTTAACCAGAACGGGTCAACAATACCTTTATTAACTCCTTCCTTCAACCTCGTTTGCAACGGCCTTCTTGAGTGCTACATACTAGCCGCCTGCTCCATTCCTGGTGTCTTCAACCCACGTCGCCCCGCTCCTCACTGCACGCAGGAGTACCCGTCCTGGGTTACTTCGTTGACGCCGCCCCACCTGCAGTCCGTCACGGCCAGGGTACAGCCATGGATGGCGGTGGTGTGTGGAGACAAGGTGCGGCTGCGGTGATGACATGAGACTGCCGCATGATAAACTTCTGATAACGTGCGACTCCGCTTGCCCGGGCAGACAACCTTGCGATTGCTTGACGACTGCAACACTGATGCCAAATCGGCGTCATGCGAGTGACCCATGCACCGCAATGCCGTTCAATATGCCCGAACCGCACATGGACTCCAACTTGCTGGTTGCCTGCGCTCTCTAGCTACGGTATCCACGCATCATGCTCATAAAGTCCATAATGTAATAAATTACAAGAATACACTAGTAGCTATCCCGCTATCCGTACCTGACAAGAAATGCATGGATTACCCCGCCAGGAGAGCGGCCCGGCACTGCCCCATCCCTGCCAGTGCCCCACTGCCTGCCACGACCCATGGGTCTCTCCTGCCCTCCTTCACCACTACATCCCACCTATATGCCGTGCAATACATGTACACACACGCCCATGCAGACGGTCAAGGTACCCGTACGGCCGGGCCCCGAGGGCCTCGAAGAGTTCCGAGAGCGTGTCCGGACGCAGTTTGGCTTTCCGCCTGGATGCGAGTTCGAGGTGCGTGTGCGTGTGCGTGTGCGTGTGGAACAAGGGTCCCAGCGGGTTACCGCGCCTCAGAATGGTTGCGTGACTGTTTAAAAGCCCACGTTTCTGCTGATAGTCACGAACGAATGCATGTGTGTTGAGATTAAGCTGGCTCGGTAGATCACCCCCGTGATACGTGCCATGGCTGACATGTGCATGTTTCCAATGTACGCAGGTTGCCTTCGAGTGCCGTACGCCGCTAGGAGGTGAGCTACCTATCTATTGCATGACGAGCTGGAATCGTGGGGGCCTGCCCTGCAGCCAGGGTTACCGCACCCTGCAGCTAGGGTACCCGCAATAGATAGCCGAGCCGTGTAAGCACTGAGCTGGGGGTGATGTATATGTGGACAACGGGGGCTCAAGAGTGCTCTCGTCTTGGCTCTTGGGCCGCCGTACGTGCTGACCGTACCCGTGCTAACTGCCTACCTAGAATGGACTAACAGCACCCTTACTCTTTAGCACCTCATCAAACCCCGTACCACATCCCACCCCGCACTGCTGGGCCCTGGCCTTTCCCAATTCTCTCCTCGCCCGGGCCACTTGCGGTTTCCTTTGTCGGAACGGCTTTGTTTCTCTTGGCCCCCCCTTGCTACGCTGGCCCCCCTCCCTGACTGTCCCGCCTGCCGCCCCAGACGACCAGCTGTACCTGCACGGTATCGAGTGCTACGACGCAGCTGCACACTGCGCCACCATCTCAGCGGCCAAGAGGGCGATGGGTGAGGCGGAGAACCTCCGGCTGGCACCCCCTTCGTGATGAGGCAGGGGCGCAGGAGAGAGGAGCGCAGGAGGCAGGAACGCAGGAGGGAGGAACGCAGGAGAGAGGAGGGAGGGATTCCGCCTGGTGGCTTACGAAGGTTATGAGTGGTGATTGCTTGCTTGTGAGGCAGCAGGATGCAAGGCGATATGGGAAAGCAGGATGGCCACCACAAGCAGGCCTCACAGCAGCTGCCAGAGAGCTCCATCATGAGGTGGAGGCTTGGTTGTGGGGTTGGCTCTTGTTCTACTCAACTAGACACTGACGCTACTGGTAAATAGCAAGAATAGCAAGAATGGAGCGCCAAAGCTATTCACTGCGGCAAGGAGGTGGGTTTGTCCCGTGTGTATGGTAGGCAAGGGCAGGCAAGAATGACCCGTGGTAAAAGGCGGGAGCTTGAAAGGCAGGACTGCTTATGGCCCACTGATGGCCATGGCTTCTCCGAGCCCTGGCTTTGTCCATGACGGTCACCCCGACACCTTGCTGCTAGGGTGTGTGTGTGTGTGTGTGTGCGACAGATGACTTGCCTGGAAAGCGTAGAGTAAGGCCCTAGCCTGCATTTTGCCCCGAACTCCAAACCTAGTGGCGGTCTAAGTGCCACAAATATGGCGGTGGTCAGCAGGAAGCCGGTGTGTGTTTACGGTCCGAGAGGGTCCGAGACACCCTACCTAGCATGCCTGCTCAATTGAAATCCAGTGCTTTTAATGATCGGGTACATATGTTTCTTTGTGCAGGTGCTGTTCGTTGCAGCTGGCGCATTCCGGCACTATTAGCCGTTGGTATTTACCAAGCAGCAAATTTTTATGTGTATCTGTTATCATATGAAACATATGCAAGAGAGTGCCCAACACATGCCCTAGCTCAATAAAGGGCTCCATTGCCAATGTGTCTTCCTTGACAGCCACGCTCGGCAAGATTTTAGCCAGAAACATACCTTAACATTACAGCGGCCACACGTAAGAAGGTGCACATAGAAGTAACTATAACATTTAGGGCCCAATCCGGTTACTAATCTTAAGTTACAGTACGGCACGTGATTAGTACTCACTCTTGCGCAGGGATAATAGTTGCATACCAATAGTTATGCTACTACTTTTTTGTTCAACCAGTTATATGGTCGTCGGCACACGGGTTGATGTTATAGCTGGCAGATGCTTCGGACACCGAGTCGCCCAGATGCCCCGATGCACACAGCACTTGAAAATCTCATCATCAATCTTTGCAGCTAATTGTTCCATCAGGTGAGTGCCGCATGTCGACCTCCGTCTTCGTTCATCGTGGTGGGCTGAACATGCGTAGAAATCTTTACTAGGGGCGCATCCATGAATATTTTGCCTTGCATTGTCAAAGTTCTAACATGCGGGCTAAAACAATCTGACACAGAGCAATCTGCCTGCTCTTGCAGGGCTTGTACATCAGTCGCCAAGTCACCTCTTAGCACTCTCTACAAGTCTTCCTGTCCACAACTTTAGCATCTTTGTACCATATACCATGGAGCGGCCTCCGTCTCACCCCCAAATGGCTGCACTGGAGGCTGCCGACTTGTCCATGCCGGTGCGACACAACACGCTTCCCCCATTTAAGGTCTGGGGCCGAGCGATACCGGATCCACGATCGGCTCCTGCACTGCCACCAGGTGACCCCGCCGCGACGCCAGCAATGGCGCTGGCGATGGCAGACCAGCTGCCCCCGGCACCGGTGGCGGGCACTTGGCCACCCGCTGATGAGCCTACAGTGGCACCAGCAGAGCTTGACACAGCAGGAGTCATACCGGCGGAATCAGCAGCAGCAGCAGCAGCAGGCCTATTCTCCGCACCAGCAGCAGCACCACCAGCTGTACCGCTGCAGCGGCTACAGGCTCTGGTGCCGCCGCTGGTGCTACCACCGCCCCTTGCGCCCCTTGCGGCACCTGCTGCTGCTGCACCAGCGCCAGCCTTGTCAGCACGAGTGCCCTTCATAAGTTCATCGGGTGTGGTACTGAAGGGCGAGGGCAGGAGCTGGTGGTCATTGGATGGCAGGTGCGTGCCAGTGATGCATGATACAGACGAGCGAGCGCGAGTACATAGGTATGATGAACCGTTTGTTGAGCGGTTTATGTGTTGATTGCCTCGGCCGGCATTGCTCCACATGCATGCATCCATGCCCGCGGGCAAGCAAGCCGCCCCGATACGGCGGCACGCTGGGCCGTGTGTCATGATCTATGGTGTGGTTTAGGGTCCTGTCCTCCATGTCCTCAATAACCTCAAACGGTGCTAGGTTGCCGCTGGGTTGCAGCTGGACATGCATCTGTAGCCCTCAGGCTGCAAGCATGTACTAAAGCGACTGATGAGCCACGTCATTGTGCTGCATGCGAGTGTGTTAAGACAACCGGCCGTGTGCTAAGAAAACTGGCCGTTTGTGTGTGACGCCTGCATACAGGGTTACGCCAGCAGCTTCGGGAGCCGTGTCGGCAGCGGATCTCCTGCCCGCCTCCCCTGTGTCGGTGTGGGCCTGGAGCTGCTGGGCGCGACGTGCCGGCGTGCTGCTGCTGTCGGCACTGTGTTTCGTGGCCCTCGCCGTCCTTGCCACCATCCTGGCGTCCGTGCTGTGAGTGTGCCGTACGTGTCCGTACCACGCACTGCCAGGACTGCTGCACATTCAACAACAGCAGCATGCGACCCCATGACGTGCACGCCATGCCCTTGCCAGGATTTGTACATCTACCCATTCCCCTTGGCAGGC